AAGGTAAGAGTAGAATATCAACACTTAAAGAGCATCTAGAACTCAAAACAACTGTCTGCCAACCAATACCAATGTCAGAATTTTGAATACAAATATCAAAACAGTTCTACTAGAAACGTGGGGAAATATGAAAGTTATCATTCAGAAGATGCAAGTGTTAATTAATAGTTGTCTATGCATAATACTTCGGATCCGTTGACCAGATACTACTAGACATTGAAAAATTACTGTAGGAATGAAGAAACCACGTTGCAGTGGAGGAGGAAATCAGGAAATGGATAGGACACTCATTGAGGAAAACACCCAACCGCATCACAAGGCAAGCCCTAATCTGGAACCCTCAAGGCTAAACAAAGGAGAAGTGGAAGACCAGAGAACAAATTACGCCGAGAAATGGAGACAGACATGTGAAGAATGAACAACAATTAAATAGAACTAGAAACGAAGGTGCAGAACGGGATGAGTTGGAGAATGCTAGTCGGCGGCTAATGCTCCATCGGGGGTTACAGACGTAAGTAAGTAAACATTTATTGAAGTAAGAACAAGCAATTGATTTAGTGTTTATACGTTATATATATTATCGAATGTAAAGAAGTGTCATGGGACCAAGCGTAATCTTAAATATATTTGTAACAATTAGTATTATGACATGCCTACATGATTCATTCTAACCTCTGAGTAGTTGATTTATTCTTAACTTTCTGTTTATTCTGTCACTCATGTATTGGGCCCCACTAACTACTTGCGTGCAACCTTTTATTATGTTTTATACATGTGTGTGTATGTGTTATAGTACGTTTATCTTTCCACTTCTTGTATTTCTTACATAAATGAATCACCTTATTTTCTTAATCTTTGTTTATTCGAACTCTAATGCTTTATTGCGACGTTACATCTTTTGTTGATTGTCTGCTGTTAGTTATTAACACGTCTGATATATAATTATCCTAAATAAAGTTTATATTAGACTTTTATTAATTACGTTGTAACAACGTGGTTTGTCGTCAAATAAGACAAGTTAATTAGGATACATATTTCATGAACATAGATATTGTCCGATCATAATGAAGTCAGATAATGGATTGTAAACGTTAATGGTTTTATATAAATGACAGCTACCAATCTTTAAAGTCCTTCTATATATTCCTTTTTGAAAACTCATAAGCTAAATATTTATAAGATAAGAATTTTACTGCAATATTTCATAATTTGTACTGAGAATTGTCTACTGTAATCGAATACACAATACTGAAATATTTAGTAACCTTTAATCTGACCTCAGTTAGATAGGACGAATGATTGTTGTCGAAATATACATCCTGGCTATCCTCGCATTTATTTATCGACTTAAATCGCGTTGGTGAATAACGGAATTAAATAAGTCAAATACGAGAATGAAGTTTGAATGCGTATATTTCATAAAATCGTTTATCTGAACAGACAATCAGAGAGACAGAGCAAAAGAAGTGAAACGGATTAGAGATGGCATGTTATCCAACTCGATTTAATCAAGCGTTAATTGATATTTATATTGTCAGACAAATGTAAGTTACAGACATGTTATGGGTAAGATAAGAAATATACACACACGCTCACATAAAAACCGTAATGGTTGATAAGCGAATAATTGACAAGATCGAAATGTAGCTTGAGAGGAACGAATATATTGATCTGTCCAGGGGCTACAATAACCTATATGAATTTGACATAGTACCAGCCCCTATAAATATGCATTATTATTACCATCATTATAAAAAAACGGTATACAATGTAAGTACTGTATGCTATATGTGAAAATGCTAACAAATGTTGAGCTATGAGATCAAATCCAATAGGTATTGTCATACAAATATGTTGTAGCAGAAATCACAACATCTATGATACAATATTTAAACCGAATAAAATTACCCAGCCATTGATATTGATAAAGATTTTACTTCCAATATAATCAGTATTACAGTGTTTTGTTTTATTTAGGAATATTTAACTAGATGTACCTGAATGAGGGTGTTTAATTTCACACTTAAAACTAAAACCAAGCCATTGTTAGCTGCACTCGATCTATTCTATATAAATCCTGTATGGATTACTTTAGACGTCAACGAGTTAACCGACAAGCTATTGAATAGGAATGGTCATTAACTTATTCAATTGATATGATATTTACTACTTATAAACGTGTGTATCCTAAATATCAATAACAGAAAACCCTAAACCTTAATGAGTAACATGCTAGACAATTATGGAGAAGATTTGTAGCTCAGGTGGATGATTTAGGTATTTTGTAAGAGATTGTAAACAATAAACTGAACATAACTGAAGAGTAAATCGTCTAATAACAATCTCTAGATCAAAATGAAGCTTATAGTAAGAGGAATATAGATATACATGATCTAGTTGCTGAATAGTTATAAAATAAGAATATATACATATAATTATAGTCTATTAATAGCTCTTAGAAGTTACCCGTAATTTAATCTTCACTAGAATATAACATACATTTTGATCACAGAAATACCGTATTGATGAGTATAGAATAGGATATCTCTAGGGTTATCTGTAATTATCGAACAATTTAGATTTTATTTTCAGCATTTAGTTTAAAATGTATTTAAGCTAAAATGTACGTTTAGTTATTAGACTTTAATAAGCGATTTTTAGCGAACTAGTTTCCTATTGGATTGGGTCGCTAATCCCATCCCCAACCCTGTTCCATTATCCGGGATTTGGACTGGCAGTAGCTCTAGAGGGGCTCCAGGTAGAGCTACGTTTTTAATAACATACTAATCATTTCATGGTTTAGAATTCTTATCTAGAAACTTTAACTTGTCATTCAGTCATAGTGTTGGGGACGTTAGATCCTCAGAACTCACTTGGGAAAGGACCTAATTTTGTAATTTATTTCTTTGTATTCGTGCCAAAGCGCTCTTGTCACCTTCATATCGTATTTCCCACTGAGAAATATCTTAATTTCTATTGGTTCGTTGCATCTTTTAGTGTGCTATTTTAGTGGTAACTTTCCCCAAGGACGGTTTTGTACTGTATATATACGTTTCGAATCAAGTTTGTTGTTATCGCTCGTTTCTGACTGTTTGCAGAATATACTTTCCCATTCCATGCTTGGAATTCTCTCTCTAGTTAGTGGGGCTGGGACGTATCAACAGCTAACTCACTGGTCTTTGGTCATCGAGTCTTGTTTCTCGTTCGTCGATTAAGTAAATTCGTGATAGCTTCAACCGTAACACATAGAATATGTCAATCTATCTGTCATTTATAATTATCTATAAAATGATACGTTTTATACTTCACAAGCTTCAAAGAATGTTAACTATGTAGAAAAACAAAAAAACAAAAAAACATTATCTAAGTAAAATTTCAGTGGTTGACATGTTGAAAAACTAAAAAAAGATGGTATAACCTTTTCATCTGTTCTTAGATAAGCATTGACATTTAAGTATATTTTGCGTGATTTATCTAATATTCTTATAAAGGATATATTTCAAATTCACATAGTGTTGGTTTACTAGTTACTTTCCATTGTTATTTAGGACTGAAATTGATCAGTTTCATGTTGGCATATGTGCATCCTGTGCGGATTGCTTCGATATAGCCTTAAGTCAAAATCTTTTTAAGCAAAGATGGATGATGGCTAGTAGTGGAATCCAGGACGTGCATTTCATCCTATTTAGGACTCTTCAGATGGATGTACCTGCATCGCAGAGTTGATGTTCACTCCGAGACTCGAAGCTAAGTGGATAACGTGATGGAGTTTCAAGCAAACGCTACTGTGTTCGAGTAACAGAGTGAATATCAACTAAGAGATGCAGATACATTCGACTGACGAGTCTCAAATAGAACGAAACGCGCGCCCTGGATTCCACTGCTAGCCACTATCCATCTTTGCTTAAAAAGATACATTTCAAAGTCTAATTTTTATAGATGAATATAATAAAACTTACTGAATGAAAGTATCTGAACAACATACAAAAAAGAAAAAGAAAAGATTTCAATTAAAGAAAATATATGACGAAGAAATTTGAAAAAACTATAGTAACTAACCTACAACTAATTTCGACTAGGGTTAGTTTTGGTTAAGGCCTTTTATTAACTTACTTAACAGATAATGTTATTTGAATAGTAACAATTCGCATATTTCTTTGTACCGTTATGATTACTAGAGCACATAACAGACTCTAGCTAAAATATTGATCGCTTAAATATCACTCGATGATTCATCCCCCTCTCCATATATACATATATGTACTCAAATCATATTATTAACTCTTGTTTTGCCTTACTGCGCCCTTATATAATTTGACTGAATTTGCCTGTAATTGCTCAAATATAAATATTCGCCTCTCCGTTTCAATTTCGCTCGATGCGCTTATAGCTTTGTGATCTATGCTATCAACTAATAAACTATAGCTGCCGCTTCTTATTGCTTACTGATTTTAATCACAGTTGAGATTTATATTATAACGGTTATCGAGGTGATTGGTTAACGGAGCAAAGCTACTACAAATCATTTCATATTATAAGAACCAATATTGATAAAACCACTGTTCTTCATCGAAAAACAATTTGAGAGTGTTCAATCTTCCCTTCATATTATTATTATTATTATTAGAGACTTTATTCAATATTATACTTTTGATACAATATAGAATTCTCAGCACAAAGAATTTCAGCGAGTTTTCATTTCTTGATCGATATTGACGATAAGTATTGAATGATTTTCAGTTAGATATTGGCATTTCAGAAGTCAACATCTGAATAATATTCATTCATTTCAATGCATATTGCCAGCAACCACGATGTCTCTGATTATACTCTTCTGTAACTTGTACAGTGAAAGGTCGTAAACTCAACTAAATACATTATGAAACTAATAGGTATAATGATCTGTTAAAACAAACAAGAAAACAGATAACTTGTTGAAATATCGAGATAGCGAGAACAAGTAGCCCAGATATTTAAGCAGACCACCTTGTATATAACAGATGCCTTATGATGATGATGATTTGGATGATGATTTGGATGATGATGATGATGATGATGATGATGATGATGATGATGATGATGATGATGATGATGATGATGATGATGATGATGATGATGATGATGATGATGATGATGATGATGATGATGATGATGATGATGATGATGATGATGATGATGATGATGATGATGATGATGATGATGATGATGATGATGATGATGATGATGATGATGATGATGATGATGATGATGATGATGATGATGATGATGATGATGATGATGATGATGATGATGATGATGATGATGATGATGATGATGATGATGATGATGATGATGAAGATGATGATGATGATGATGATGATGATGATGGTGATGAGGAGGAAGAAGTCAAGCAAACATCAGCATAATAATAATAATAACCTAAAGATCAAGACTTATTTGCTACATTTTCATTCTTTATTTTTGATAAGTACTGTCAATAAGTATGATATATATATAAATTTCCAGAGGATAAGTAATTTCTTTATCGATTTCATGGATTGTTTCCCTCTTTTTTCTTTGTCTTTTCTCTCTAAAATTTGTCAATCACTATTACTTACCTTATTCTTATAATCTAATTGACATGTAACAATAGTTTAACGAAGAGAGATATACAGTTGAAAAATTTGAAATTCAACATGATTTTAGATTAGAATCATGATAAACATCTAGTTAATCAAATGGAAAGTAATAGAATGCACTAGTTGATACTTTCATTTCTACTGTAAATTTGTTCATACATACATTGAACTACTCTAAGAAACAACAAAACAAAAAACATGGTGAAAAGAAGTATGTTCTTCCATATAAGATCTTAAGTTTAATTATCTGATGTAAGTAAAAGCGACTAAAATATGTTTTAATGCATTTGTTTATTTTTCAAAGAAAAATAGACAGTAATTCATGTCATTTTTTTCTAGTTAGCGTTTTTTTGGCGTGTTATTTTTCTACGGGATATAGTTGCTAACCCCATGTTCAACCTCCCTCTTTTATTCGGACTTGGAACCGGCAGTAGCTCCAGGCGAAGACAGCTATGAGCAGAATGAACAAAAATTGGATAGAATTAGCAAGGAAGGTTCAGGATAGAGTAGGTTCGAGAATGCTGATCGGCCGCCTATGCTCGATTGGGGGGCAACAGGCGTAATTAATTAATTAATTAATTAATTAATTAAGCAACCCATATCATGTTTTGCTAATTCTTAGCATTGATCAAAATCTGTCGACCAAATTAAAATATAACTGATCAATTAACTGATTGGATATGACAACCAACAATGTTTATAATGCTAAGTAGTTGGAAACAATAAGTAAGAAGCCATGAATCAATTAACATTACTTAGTAAGGTGTATATTCAGTCAGAAGACTAATGATACTTCCTGTATTAGAATTAAAATAAACTATAACAGTAAAGTTTCCAACCGAATTCATCAAAACATTCAGCACATCCGTAAAACAGAAGAACGATGAAAGCTCCACGACTAAACCATCCAGCTCAAAGAACAAAACCCCACCAAAATCATCCATCTGAGCTACAAATCTTCTCCACCATCTCAATATCCGTAAAACAGTTTAGGATTTCATAAATTATCTTAAAAGTTTCAATAATTCACATATTATTTATAAGATTCTTTAATATCACTGTTCTTTTGATAGATTGATCCAGATCTGTTCCTAACATAAATTTCACTTTACAACATAATGATATATTTGTACACATGCTGAACAGTAGTAAGAAAAGACTAATTAGGTGTGAATCTTGACTGAAACTAAGATTTTTACTATGAAAGTTTAAATTAGGAAGACAATAAACACAACAGAAACTATGCTTTCACATCCGATGATACAATTTTTTAAAAACTTTCGCCACCGCTATTTTTAAAGTCATCAAGTGAATCCTTGTTTTTCATACAGTTGTTCATAGATTAATTTTGTTTAATAACAAGGTTGTTACACAATGCTCATGATGTAATCACTCATGATTCTATCACAGAGTACTTTAACTTATGAATCATAATAACTGAATTATTCTTGATAATAAATATACTATTTGTGGTATCTCAATGAGTGAAACTTTGTATTTCCGATGTTTCGTGACTTAATATAAGCCACTTCTTCAGAGTAAATAGTATATTGATTATTAATTTCCTACCCAATGCTCTAGTTATTTCAATTATCTTTAGTTTTTTGCATAGTGGAACAATGGGTTTTTTAGTTATGGCATACTTCTTTATGAACAGTTTACGAAGAATAAAATATGCGGTGAGACTCTAATTTATGGACGACCTTTGAACGAATCTTAAGTGACGTTGAGAAATATTAGTTAATCAGAAAACAGTCAGTATAGAGTAAAAATATGTTATACAAAACCAAGGAAATAAAGTGGATACACTTCTTATATATGGTTCAAAAACTTATCAAGGTTAGAAAGAGGTTCAGAGGTTCTAAAATCGGAATGCATGCAGTAGCGGAAATCATCCATACGGCTAAAGGACAGTCGGCCTCTGAAGTCATGATGAAGTCTCAAAAACTCTTTCAGCCTCGACCACATGGCTTCAATATTGTTTATATGCACTCCAGTTGTTGAGTGCACAAAATGCTATTTGTGGATAACGACACGATGCACATAACCATAACATATGTAGGGGTCTGTACGCTCTCTAATCATCCGTATATATTGTAGTACCTGGCTGCAGCTAGTGTTACTGGTGCTTTTATTATCCATTCCTCAATAATTCTCATAATTTACCTCATTTAGGAATTATATATGGGGTTTTCATCACGTACTGACAACAGCTATACTCTATTTAACCAAATGGATGAAAGGAATTCGTGTTTGAATCCGAGATCTACTATCTTATGCCTGACTGATTCGTTCAAAAATTATAGTCTGGCCGTTTTGTTTGTTATAGCCGCTCAATTATCACGTTTTGTACAAAATTCCTTGTGAACCGATTGTACGTTAGCATTAAGCACTGAAGTTGGCGCCGTGACCTTGTAGTCTCTAAAACGCTCCTGATTGTCTCGTCCATAAATAAGAGTCTCGCCGAATAATCTACACAAAGTGAATTATACATCCCCTCTAAACTTTTCTCATCACTTTCAAAAAATCTTAATTTAAATCTAACGATGGGTTGCACAAGCAATTGGCTATCAGTACTCAGTAGCTAAGTGAAGAGAATGATACTGAGTTCGAGCCCCAGAATGAGCATCAACTTTGAGGTGCAGGTACATCCAGCTGACAAGTCCCATATAGGACGAAACGCGCATCATGTATTCCACTACTAGCCACTACCCATCTTTGCATGTTAGTAAGACATTTAAGAAAACAATCTTAAACTCACTAGTTATGTTTAAGCTACTAATAAGTAGTAAACATTAACACCTAAGAAATGAGTCATTCAACAGTGTAATCCTTCTAACAAGTACAATTTTTCTATAATGAACTATAAATCTTACTGTTTACCCCAAAATCATCCATACGTATACAATTGTTTAAAATAAACTATATGATAATGGGTTTGAAACTTCGATCTTTCCACTTGAAAGTGAAGTGTTTCAATGATTAACTTATCATTGTTAAATCTGAAGTTTATAATTCGATAATTAAGGATAACAAGAACCAATCAAAATCGAAGTCTATAAGATAAGCTGTGAACCACATATGGAGAAATTTGAACACTTCACTTCTACCTGAAGTTTGTACTGATAATGTCGTACAGAAGAACAATGAAAGTTTCACAACTAAACTATTCAATTCAGAGAATAAACCGCCATCAAAATCATCCATTTGAGCTATAAATTTTCTTCATCATCTATAATTACACATTTTATTACATTGTTTATATAAAATAGAGTTAAATGCTTTACTGTTACTCTTTACCCATATATAAAGAGAATAGAGAGAGAGAGAATAGAGAAAGCCTTTCCTCTCTAGAATGTATTGATTTAATATTGAATTTTGACTATGTTATTGTAAACAACAACAAACACAATCATTTTATCATATAAATAAATTAACACTTGTCATGCAAGAATACCACAAGCAAAGTATAATTAATTTTGTAAAACTAACTGTTAGTTATCTCAATAAAGCTTTTTAATGAAGCAAAGATGGATAGTGGCTAACAATGACAATAAGGAATGCGCGTTTCGTCCTATTTAGGACTTGTCAGCTGAATGTAACTGCATCTCGAATTTGATGTTCATTGTGGGACAAATAACACCAAACTGTTTATTAAGTCTAAATAAAGATATAAATATTTGCTGTTTTATTAATGAGCTTTCTGGCTAGCGATTTTTTTTGGGGGGGGGGCGAGTTAGTTTTTTACAGGATGGAATTACTAACCTTATGCCTAACCCTCCTTCTTTGTCTGGGTTTGGGACCGGTAGTAGCCTTAGAGGAGCTTCATGAGTAAGTAAGTAAGTAATTTTAATGAACTAGCAATAAAATGATGGAAGTTACCAGACAGTTTGTTTTCTCTTAAATAAGATGTAGTAACTTTTTAAAAAATTCAAATGTTGAATTTATTCGTATTTAACTTTAGTTTTGTCAAATTTACGGATTTTGGTTTCAGGCAGAATCTTTGATCCTAGTTTCTTCCTAGTTGGGACTCATCATTTAATCTCAACTGTATCGTATCTATGAAGTGATTATCTACTATTATAGTTGTCAATATGTTATCCACTAAACTATTGAGTCTGGTTAGTGATTAACTTGTTAAGCTGTTATGGTATTTCTATTCAATTAGTTTTTTATTATGACATTGCATTAATGTACATGTTTTACGATGATAATCCAGTGAATGTTAATGAAAGTAATAACAAATAATTGAAAAAGGGATCAGAAGATAAAGGCTAGTGAGATGATTTTAATATTGAAAGATACTAATTATTAAACAAACGAATTGGGATATTTAATCATAGAATCATTACAAGGATTTTGTGGAGATTGCTTAGTTTTCATAGAATACATCAAGTACTGATCTTAGGTATTTAACCATTGAAATCCAGGATACATTGGATAACTATTATGTCGTAATATAAAGCTCTTCTACAGTAATCAATCACGATCTTATGGTTTATCGAACCCAGGATCTTCAATCTCATAGCAAGTACTTGACATCTAAATCACTGAATAGATATTTAAGGATTTACATTTCTCACTATATTCGACTATGGATATTGATCGTCCTTTCAGTGCCACTGGTTGCTAACTGCCTCACGTCCTCCGTATGGTTATAACTATTATAGTGTATTTGTGAATACTGTTGAAGCTTTATAGTTTATTGGTACGTTGGGTGGGTCAGAAATTAATCAAATGATAGGAGCATCTGGTTGACTAGAAAAGGGCTTTCATTTCTAAGAGAT